ACTGATTCCATTGTATATAAGGTGCATGGTTTTCATTTTATCTCTTTATCCCTTAATGGACACTTGGTTTCTGTCCACCTTTTGAGTCATCTGAATGATGCAACTACAAACTTAGATGTAGAATCTGTCTGAGTCTCTACTTTCATTTCTTTTGGATATAGTGTATCCCCAGAAGTTAAAATGGTAGACCGTACAAAAATTCTAATTCTTACTGGGGCAAAAACCCCAGCTCTACTACAGAACTGCACCCCAACCCACACATAGTGCTATGAAACTATCAAAATTAATAAAGAAACTTTATTTTTAAAAATCTCAATTTCCCCTTTTTGTCCAGGACCCAGGGTAGAGCCTATGATTTAGTTTAGTTTTGTTTTATTTTTTTGATGAACTGGGATCCTTGCTATGTTACCAGGCTATATTCAGCCTCTTACCTTAGCCACCTGAGTAGTTGGGATTACAGGTATATGCCACCATGCCCAGTTTAAGATTTAGTATGTATTAAATATGTTTGGATTGAATGACCACAATGTAAAGAACTTGGTAAGCACCACCCAAAAGACATAAAGTACTTTCACAGAAAGAAGGATCACACGTGGAGGCCATCAGGAAGGGCTTCAAGTTACAAATGGTAGTTGAGTGTACTTTGAAGGTCTGACTGCTTGTTTGGTTTGTTTTTTAAGAGAATAGTATAAGGTATCCCACATAACAATAATTTTCGTTTTGTGAACAAGCTTTTGATTGATGATTGGTTGATTGCTTGGATTTTTGAAATAAGGTTTTGCTATGTAGCCCAGGCTGGCCTTAAACTCGGGTTCATCCTCCTGCCTCAGCCTCCTGAGTGCTGGGATTATAGGCCTCTGCAATTTTGAACAAGTTTTTTAAAAGGTGAAATTTCTTTTGTTAGAATTCTTGGTTTTATCTCTAGAATACATGCATTATCCAGCAGATACGATTTCCATATTGTCTTTTGTTTAGGTTAATATTAATAAGGTGTTTTTTCCTAAACAAACAACAATCTAGTGAAGAGGCTTGCTTAATTTGTTGATTTATTCATTAATTTTGCCATGCTAGGGAGTCAACCTAGGGCTTCATGTGTTCTAGGCAAATGCTGTAGCACTCAGCTGTATCCCTAACCCTAGCCATAAAATGGCTGCAAAAACCTGTTTTGTGACTAGCATAAACTAGCTAGAATTAAGACTTTTCTAAATTGAGAAATATATATACAAGTAGTGGAAAATTAATTGCATTTTTGATTTTAGAGGAAAAATAACAGCTTTTGAAAATTTTATTCTTATGTGACAGATCAATTTAGAATACCCTAGCATACTTGCTTCAAATTAAATTATTCAATATAGTTGGAATTTTCTTTGCAAAGTTTTATATTTTGAGGTATGCCATAATTGAGAACTGTCTTATATTGGAAATGTTAAAAGTTTATTTCTGAAAAGTCAAATTTATGGGCTGCCTGGGAACACCACTTTGACTTACATGAGTAGGTTTCTCTGATCTATTTAATTACTTCAAACCAGCCTACTGAAAAACTGTTGGAAAGTATTTATTTAATATACTGCTATGGAACATTTTTTAAAAATTAGTATTTAAAAAAGAAAGCTATAGGATTAAGGATGTTTTTGTAAACCTAGATACAAAATGAACCTGAAAAGTTTTGGACCTTTCTCCTTAGAAACTTTATTGTTACAGAAAGTTTTTTTTTAAAGGCACTCTTTTTACTTAAAATTATTCTAAAAAGTTGATTCAGAATAGTTTCTTATTTTAATTTGGATCTGAAGTAGCTATGAATACCATCTTTGAATTTTCATGGCCATTCCACATTTGAGTTCATGTTTCGTGAATTTAGTTGTAATATTCCTAAACCCAACGGGGTACAGTTTCTGTGGTTACCAGACCCTTTGTAGAGTGACAAAGATTGGAATTCTAATTCTCATGAGTCAAATTTTGGCCTTTGACTCTGTCCCCTTTTCACACCCCTTGCCAAGCTTGGGCTGTTGCTATGCTTGAAGGCTTGTCAGCTAGCAGGTTCCTATGGTAACAGAGATAGAAAATTGAAAGAAGAAAGAATGGGAGCACAAAGGGCTGGTTGATTTGAATTTGAACAAAGACTCCTAAGGTTCCATGTGGTGCACCTTTGTTGTAGAAACTAGAAATTTAATTTTAGAAAGTTACTTTGCAGTTTGTAAACTTCCTATACCCTGGTGCTGATTGAATAGACAGGAGTACTACTGTTTAGGGAAATAATAAGAATCTTTTAAAATTCAGTCAGCTAAAATTTCTTTTTTTCTACTTCATAGCACATTAGTAGTATTCCTGTTGTTATATATTTGTTCTCAACTTTTAAGGATCCAGGCTACCTTATTTAAAATCAAGGTTAAAATTAAGGCAGTTTGCTTACTTGCAAAGTATTAACACTTTGTTTTTGTGTAATAGCTTTATTAAGTGTAGTATGTGTACATTAATAAAGTGTTCACTCCCCCGTGTGTTGACAGACCCTGTGCCACCATCACCGTGGTGAAAGTAGAGGGTATTTCCACCCCCTGAAGCCTGCGTAGGCCCCTTTGTAGTCCTATTTCTCCTTTACTCCCCGCCCCACACAACCCTGATCTGCATTCTATTTTGGAATAGCTTTCATTTTCTAGAGTTTTATATAGTATAGATGGAGTCATACAGTACCTATTTTGTGTGTGTCTGGTTTCTTTAACCGGCTTTTATTTTTTAACCAGCATTGTGATTTTGCTACTTTCTGTGTTTTGTTTTTCAAAAACATCAGTCCACTGACTTTCTTGTTTAACAGTTGAAAATGGGGGATTTAGTGGTGTTCCTCATGCCTACCAAATAGACTGTTACATAGCTACTAACTTGCAGCTATTCATTCCTTAATCCACTTTTAAATTATCATTTATTGTGTTCTCTGTATTAACTACATCTTTTTATTTAAGTGTTAAGACCATTTTCCAGAAATGGAGCAGCTAAGCAGAACAAATTGTTAAGTGTAAGGTCTCTAGATAAGAATGCCAAGGTTTAATTGACTCCTGGGTCCATCTTCAGCTGTGTCATATTGCACAAGTTACTTAGCTTTCTTTTTTTAAGTTTTTTTTTTTTTTTTTTGTGTGTGTGTGTGTGTGTGGTACTGGGGCTCGAACTCATGACCTTGCACTTGCCAGGTAGGTGCTGCATTGCTGAGCTTTATCTCCAGCCCCTGTTACTTAGCTTTCTATGTCTTACTTTCCTCACATGTATTATAGAATCAGATTAATTATAATAGTACTTTATGGGATTGTAAGATTGAAATGAGAAAATACTTTAAGGCACTTTAAGCAGTGCCTGTCCAGAAGTATCAGAAAAATGCTAGCTGAGATAGAGCCCAACAAGGAACTTAGAGTTAGAAAGCTGCAGAAACAAAAATTTTAGCTTTTGGTTTAAAACAAGCAGCACAAAGTAGACATTCAAATTGAGTTTGTAATTTATGATGGGGCTCACAGATGGAGGTTTGGTTTTATAGTAGCATAATGATAACTGTTGATAGTCATAGTGTATTATCAGTTATCACATCTACTCTACAGTTAACTTCCCTGACATCAATGTCTTTAACTGACTCTTGATTTTCTGATAGCATATGTATTGGAGGCCTTTGGGAAATATTACACTCAGTATAGAAATAAATTGATTTCTACTCAGTAGCAGGGGGTGGTGGTAAGAATATCTATAACCAGTTCAGAATCAGTGGTGACCCAAGCCATTATATAAACAAGTGGGAGAAAAAACTAAGTAATCAAAAACCCAGGTACACATTTGTTGGGCTATGTGATCTGTAATCCTGTGGTTGTAGTGGTTATTTTAGTAATGTTTGGCTTTCTTTTTGTTTCCTAATACCAGGTTATATTGTTTACCTATATTACAACATGTTTTCACTTTAAGTTTAAAGAATTGCTTAAAACGTTTTTAAAAATGTAAAAAGAATAAGTAATTTTTAGTCAAAGATGACTGTTCCCCAACTTCAACTCCTCAGATAACTTAAGTATAACTACTTATCTCTTTCCTTTCCTTTCCTTCTTTTACTGCTTGCTTTCTTTCTTCTTGGTACATGTTAGTTGAAGAAAATATGAAAGTTGAAATACATAAAAGAAAAATGTATAAAAGAAAATCTCTTACAATCCTACCACCATATAGTAATCATACACTTTGGAGCTTTGGTGCATATCGTTTGTAAGGCTTTTTTCAGCACCATATATGAAATGAATGTTTCTGTTGTCTTCCTTCTCCTCTTGCTTTTCCTCCTCTTCATTCTCAATCCTGTTTCTTTATTAACATCACCCATAGTGTTTCAAATATACATATAGATTCTGGGCTGTATCTTGGACATAACCAGATTGGAATCTTCAGGGGTAAGCTAAGAGGATTTTATTTAAAAAAAAAAACGAAAACTACTTTAGCCTCTGTCATTGTGACAAAGTCTCTGAGAATAATAACTTCAAAGAGGAAAGATTTATTTTATGTCATGGTTTGAGAAGTTTTAGTCTAGGGTCAGCTGGCTCCATTTTTTTTAGGCATGTGGCAGGGCAGAAACATGGTAGAAGGGTATGGTAGGTGAAAGCTGCTCACTTCCTGGCAGCCAACAAGCAGAGTGAGAGACAGAGAACATGCACTTACAGGCTTCTTCCTTCTGCATTTATTCCATCTGGACTCCAGGGTACGGGTGCCATCTGCATTTAGGGCAGGTCTCCCACTCAGTGTGTTGACCCACCTGCAGGTTTTCTCTGGAAACAGCTTCACAGACACACGGAGAAGTGTGCTTTACTAATTTCCTAGCTGTTTCTAAATCCAGTCAAGTGACAGTCAAGATTAATTATCTCATTCTCCTTTAGAAAATTTAGAAAATTAATACCCTTCAGTTTTTTTAAGATGGAAAAATCTAAGCTGAAATATTACAAAAGCTCTAGTTTATATGCAACTCTTTATCTGATTATTCAATTTTGTTTTCCTAGCCCTTCCACCCTATGGTGAATCTGGATTGTTCTCGGGATTTCCGGCCATTTCTTTGTGCACTCTATGCTCCTATTTGTATGGAATATGGACGTGTCACACTTCCCTGTCGTAGGCTGTGTCAGCGGGCCTATAGTGAGTGTTCAAAGCTGATGGAGATGTTTGGTGTTCCTTGGCCCGAAGATATGGAATGCAGTAGGTATGGAAATCATACATTTTTGTGGGTCATTTCTAATGTTACAGTATGTTTGAAAACACTTGTCTTTTTATCTATTTTTAAAAGATATATATACAAATATATCAAAAATAAACTTTCTAAAGAATTAAGAATTATGTAGTTAAGACATTCAATTAATTTTTCTCTCTATAAAACACTTTTTCTGGTTATAAAAGTTATATCATTCGTGGAAAATTAGCAAATATACAGAGAAGAAATAATCATTACCTTACCACTGTAGTGGCTTAAGTCCCTTTGATTTAGATATGTTAATCACTGGCATTGTCTGTCAGGTTTTTTTTATCATGTATTAAGGCACCAGATTCAGAGAATGTCAAATGCTTTTCACCTCACATCTAACATATAGACTGTAAGCATTTCCTAAGGTTTGAGGATTTATTAGACTTTCTTATAGTTTTATATGAGTGAATAGTATTAGTCATAATTATACGCTAGCTTAAAGAATAATAAGTTATCTCTGTGCCTATAATTATCTAGTTTTGTTCAATTTTAACATTTTGTAATGTTTGCTTCAGATTTTGTTTTCAGAAATAAAATACTGCAGGTACAGTTGCAGATTCTTTGTACCCAGCTTGATCTCATTCCCTTCTTTAACCCCCCCCAGGGATCAGGTAATCATTATGATGATTTTGTTGTAATCATTTTTGTGTTTGCTTTTATATGCTTATTATATCTATGAAGTATGATCAAAATATACAGTGAATGTTTAACTTTTAAAAATTAACAGTCAAAGACACATTGCCATTTATCTTTCTCAAAATATTCCCTCTTGCTTCAAACATACTTATTTCATCATTTTTGCCACTGTTTGAACAGTTCTGGAAGTCTTTTTTTGTGTGTTAACACGGCATGATCAAAATTACGATGAGCAAATCTGCCAAGTGCTGTCCAATGGAAAGGCAGGCTCCTGAAAACATTATGATGTGTTCTCATCCACCTCATTCACCAGACCTGGCACTGTGCAACTTCTGGCTCTTTCCCAAAGTTGAAATGACCATGAAAAATAAATATTTTGAATCCATTCTGGACGTTGAGGTAGCCACGACAGTGCAACTAAAGATATGAAAGAACTTCCAGAACTGCTTCAGAAGGTTGCAGGAATGATAAGTATGTTGGAAGCAAAGGACATTAAAGGCAGCGTATCTTTTAATGTAGTGAAATTTTTAAAAATTTAAACAGTCGCCATAGTTCTTGACCACACCTTGTATACCAATCTACAAACAACATAAGATTTTTTGTTTTTATTTTTGTTTTACATGTGTCTGTATCTCTAGGTCTGGCTGATTCCTTTTAATTGCTAATTAAAACTTAATATCATTTAAGTAATTATAGTAACATCATCATTTAGCTGTCTCCCACTGGTCATTTAGGTTACTCCCAGGTTTTTGTTACAAACAACATTCATTTTTTAAAAGCAATTTTGCTTGTGATCTGGCAGTAGCTAATAGAGGAATGCTGTGTCCTCATGGTGCCAAAGGGCAGGAGAGCAAGGGGGTGAATTCTGTCTCAGAAGTTCTGTTACAAGGGCATTAATCCATGAGGGCTCTGCCTTCCTGACCTGGTGACTTCCTCGAGGACCCCGCCTCTTAACATTGCCACAGTGGAGATTAAGTTTTAATATAAACATGAGTGGGAGCATTGAGACTATAGCAGTTGTAAGAACATCTTCAATCTCATTTCTTTATTTAATTTAAATTTTGTGGCTTATCACTTAAAATAACTTGTTAGTTATTTCAGTGCGTTAGTATTTCCACTGTACTTCTTCAGACCTCTGACAGACTGATCTAGCCAATGTCTTACAAGTTAATTATGCTGTATATTTAATGATTCTCAAACCGTAGCAATTCTGTTACTTTGTAACTGCTTATCTTGGTCAAGAAAATTTGTGTTCATTATCGCAGTCCGTGTCAAATCTCTGTCACTTTCCTTAGACCTTCTCACACCTTTATTCCCTTCAACCTTAGCCTGTCTCCTTTACTGAAAATCATTTAGAGCATAGTCTGTGACCTGTTATCTCTCAGACCAGTCCTTCTTAATTTTCTTCTTGGAACTTCTTCCTCTTTCTGTCCCTTATCATTCTTCTCAGAGTTCAGTTCCTATTTTCTTTGTTCTTTCCACAGCTTTCCCTGGAGTCTCATCTCATGGATTCTAACTCTTGTTTATATACTAGTGAATCCTAAACCTAAATCTGTAGCCATATTTTCTCCCTGCTAAGCTCTAAAGGTACATATCCATCAACCTTTGGAAAATCTTAGCCTGTATTTGTTTCAGATACCTCAGCTTCTATATGTCCAAAACTGATTTTTTCTTTTGCTCTTTTTTTTAATTCCTTGGAAGTCATATTTTGGTTTTTTTTCTCCATTAACCTCAACCCTCATATCCAATCAGTTATAAATTCTGTTGCTTTTACCTAACTACTTTCCTATCTATCTCATTCATACTACCTTACGTAGTTTTCCATTTTTTTAACATATTTTAAATATGTATGTATTTCATCTGATCTCTGCCACTATTTTTACTCAGCTCAAATCTGACTTCACACTCCTTCTAGATGACCTTTTTGCTTACCTGGATAAAGATTATATGAATATATTCATTTAGTATTTATTAGTTCAACAAATGCCAGTCGAATGTCTTTGGTGTGACAGTTGCTTTTCTAGATGTTGAAGATAAGCAGTGAATAAAAGGAAGTCCCTGTTCCAGTAGAGCTAAAATTCTAGGGAGAGTGGTAAGTGGAGAAAGGTAATGAGTAAGTAGTTAATGTCAGATAGTTATGAATTCTAACAAGAAAGAATAGAGTTAGGAGATACAGTAGAAGGGAGCAGAGGGATTATTTTTCTATAGAGTCATGCAGAAGGGCTTTTTAATAATAAGATCTTGACCAGGGACCTAAATGGAAAGAGAGAATAAATGATAACAGATACCTGGGGGGGGGGCGGGGGCGGAGAACATCCAGGCAGAGGAAACAGAGTAGCAAGTGCAGAGGCTCTGACTTTGAAAGTACAGTCTGCTTGTCAAATTCATAGAAAAGCAGAAGACCAAAGAGGCTGGAGCTTAAGTGAGTGAGGGAGAATGGGAAGAAATACGAGCTGGTACTGGGGCAGGAGGTCTGTAAAGCTCTGCAGGGAAAATTGAATTTGCCTCTGAATGAGGTAGGAAGAAGGGAGAGTTTTGAGAAGAGACATGATCATCAATTCAGGAATGGCTTGTCTAAAGGCCCACTGTGAGGCTAGGGGTGCAGCTCAGTGGTACAACTCTTGCCTAGCATATATGAGGTCCTGGGTTCAATCCCCAGCACAACAACAACAAAACAAAGCAGAAAGCCTGTTTTCACTCTAGCTGTTATGTGGGAATGGAGATGAATTGAAGTCCTCCTGCTTCTATTCCCAGAAGTTCAGGGAAGAGATAATGATGGCTTGGACAAGGCAAAGTGGTGGGAAAAATGTGTCCAGATTCTGAATTATATTGCTGTTAGTCATCGTGATAAAATACACTGATAAAAAGGAGAAAGAAACGTGCATATCTCTCCAACCTCATCTCCTATCACCGCTCATGCACATTTCATAGTCCAGTAATGCAAAATGCACTGTGAGTTTGATTGCATTTGCTTCTTAGAATGCTGATTGGCATATGCAGTACTAATCCTGGGAAATACTGATTCAAAGCCTGTAATGAGAAACTCACTCTGTGAAATCTTTCACAACAGCTTTCCCTGATACAATTAATTATTTTCTTTATCATTTTTTATCTTACATAGATTATGATTGACTTATGCCTCACACTGTTGTACTTTGTGTTACGTTTATAAATTTCCCTCTCCTTCTATATTTTGTGTTACATTTGTAAGTTACGGTCTCTTGTTTTTCTTTGTTTTTTTTTTTTATCTTTTTATTGTTAGCCCTGGGATACTACACTGTGAACTTCTGTAGTTTGGCCTGATAATTCCAAGGCCTGTGAAGAAAGTGGTTTGTATTAAAAAAAGATGTATGTATTTGGCAAACTTAACATCTGTGAGAGTTTCTGGGAAGCTATTTGATGCATATAAAACTATAAACAACTAGTTAGCGGGAATCTAAAGTCTTAGAAAGTGAAATTGGCAAGAAAATTGAAGGTATTTGTGAGAATGGGCCCTTAATCGTATATCTGCAACAAAACTCTTGTGGTTTTTTTTTTTTTTTTTTTTTATCTTGAGGTTATTACACTTTCTGAAGTCTGTGGATCACTTACCTTTGAAAGTTTGTTAACACACATTTTAAAAATTTTTAAATTTTTTTAATGTAATACAAGTAGATACTAATAAAGAAAATATAAAAACACTCTTCTTTGAAAAAGTGAAACCAAACTTAATAACAAAATAGAGAATAACAATGGTTAATATACTGTGTGTCATGATCTCAAAAGAATAGCCAAAATGTTACTCAGCATACAAGTCATTGATAAAAAGATTTTCTCTTACAAAGAACAAACAAATAAAAGAAACTGAAATGAAACAAATTGGCATGTACCTTAAAATATTTTTGAAAACACAGAATAGATAATTTAGGTAGTTTTTTTAACTTCTCCCTGCTTCCCATTTATGTACTATTTTTATATGCTTACTCTCCCTCTTCCCCCGTATATATTTTAAAATTATATATAATATATATTTATATTATATGTGTTCTAATAAGGGAAAGATAAACTTGAGTCATTCATAGGCATGTAGATACAATTTGAGAACATAATGTTAAGTGAAATAAATCAGATACACAAGTCTAAAATACAGATTTTATTTTACAACCAAAAACATTCTGAAGTATGATCTGTGGTGTTGGGGACTAGCAATTTGGATTTTAGAAATATCTTCAAGTTTTTCTTATGTACCTCAAAGTTTGAAAATAGAGTACTGTGGGCTGGAGAGGAACCAAGGATGGCAAAAAAGAACTCAGTGACGTTAGAGACCTTACAAGCTCTTTAATTAGTCAATAGGCTAAGCAGAGAGTGAATGTAAAATGAGAAGATCTGAAAGCTGAGCCACTTGTAAAGATAGTTAATGCTAATATAACTCACAGTACCTTGAACATTCAGGGAAGATTTTTTAACTCTTATGCATAAACTTCTAGCTGCTGTTCCGTGGGAGCTATATAATTACACCCATATATTTTTATATTTCAAAATCATACTCTAAAACTGTGTCCTAAATAAACACTATCTATCTATCTATCTATCTATCTATCTGTCTATCTGTATTGTTCACAACTGATGACTGTGTTTAACTTTTTAATAAAGAGTGCTGATTTTGAAGGCAAAAAACCCCTAAGTTTAAAACGAGGACATGTTTTGGCCAGCTATTTAAAACTTGATTGTATGGCCCACAAACAAGGTATCACCACTTATTTCTGCATGCACAATTGCCCTCCAACAATTTAGGAATATAAAAGATCATGAGTGCTAACTTTCACAATCCAAATTATTAGGTGGCAGTAGATTTCCTTGTAAGTAAAAATGATTCATTTTGTGTTTTTTTAGGTTTCCAGATTGTGATGAGCCATATCCTCGACTTGTGGATCTGAATTTAGTTGGAGATCCAACTGAAGGAGCCCCAGTGGCAGTGCAGAGGGACTATGGTTTTTGGTGTCCCCGAGAGTTAAAAATTGATCCTGATCTTGGCTATTCTTTTTTGCACGTGCGTGATTGTTCACCTCCTTGTCCCAATATGTACTTTAGGAGAGAAGAACTATCATTTGCTCGCTATTTCATAGGATTGATTTCAATCATTTGCCTCTCTGCCACACTGTTTACTTTTTTAACTTTTTTGATTGATGTCACAAGGTTCCGTTATCCTGAAAGGCCTATTATATTTTATGCAGTCTGCTATATGATGGTATCGTTAATTTTCTTCATTGGGTTTTTGCTTGAGGACCGAGTAGCCTGCAATGCCTCCATCCCTGCACAGTATAAGGCTTCCACCGTGACACAAGGATCTCATAACAAAGCCTGCACCATGCTTTTTATGGTACTCTATTTTTTCACGATGGCTGGCAGTGTATGGTGGGTAATTCTTACCATCACATGGTTTTTAGCAGCTGTGCCAAAGTGGGGTAGTGAAGCTATTGAGAAGAAAGCACTGCTATTTCATGCCAGTGCATGGGGCATTCCCGGAACTCTGACTATCATCCTTTTAGCGATGAATAAAATTGAAGGTGACAATATTAGTGGCGTGTGTTTTGTTGGCCTCTACGATGTTGATGCATTGAGATATTTTGTTCTTGCCCCTCTCTGCCTATATGTGGTAGTCGGGGTTTCTCTCCTCTTAGCCGGCATTATATCCCTAAACCGAGTTCGAATTGAGATTCCATTAGAAAAGGAAAACCAAGATAAATTAGTGAAGTTTATGATCCGGATTGGTGTTTTCAGCATTCTGTATCTCGTACCACTCTTGGTTGTAATTGGATGCTACTTTTATGAGCAAGCTTACCGTGGCATCTGGGAAACAACATGGATACAAGAACGCTGCAGAGAATATCACATTCCATGTCCATATCAGGTAAGGAAAACGTTGTTATAAATTTCACAATGTGTGATAGTGGAAAAAAGGTGTATTACTAACTATTCTTTTAAAAACTCTCCATAACCCTTCAACTTGCACGTTAAAATTTAAGGCAAAGACAGCAAATATAGTAAGTCTGTAATACACATATTTCTGAAGCCTTCTTCATTTTAAAAGACAATTTACATGTCTAAGCTTTGCTTTTAAGCAGTCTGTTTTCAGTATCACAAAACAGAACAGTTCTTTATTGATTCTTTAGAAGTCCAGGTTTTTAGGGGAGAAATACTGTTCCAATACTGGTGAAAAAAGGAACTGTCTTTTGTAGAAATTTTACTGATACTCAAATAGACATTAATTTTGAATAGTTTGCAAAGATAATATAATGCAGTTATGCAAACTCTTAGTTTTTCTTATTTGCATAAGAGTTTTTTTATGACATACGCTGGATTTTAAAGAGTTCAGAGCCTCTGGTATTCATAGAATCATAGAATCTTAGTTCTAGAAAAGAACTTTTCAGATCATTTATTTGAATTCCCTTTCTACTTTAAAGTTCTTAAACGTTCATCTCTTTTGAAGCTTAAAAATGTTAAGTGGCTTGCTTATGCTTAGTAAATTACCAGCTGGGACTTAGTCTTAGGAGAGGAATGTAGCGAAGGAAAATAGTTCAGAGGAATTGATACTGAGTGTCTCTCTCCTACAAATCCTTCCCTAGAACCTATACTCTAGTGGTTACCCTCTTCCTCCTTTTAAAACAAGTTTTCATCAGAGAATATTTTAGCTAGATTCTCCTGTTCATCATGCTCCAGGTTTCTTATTGGAAGTGCACTATCTTTCCATCTCCCCCAACCCTTATGTTTTTCTAATACTGCTTAAATACTTTAATAAAGTACTTACATATTATAGATAATTTTTATTCACTTGTCCTTTTCCCCTACTAGGTTGTAAACTCTTTGCAAACGAGAAGTTCTTTTTCATTTTTGAATGCATGTTCTGTAGGTTAGTAAAATGTAGCAATGAGAATGTGGTTTTATAGATAGAGAAGAGATAATCTTACAGAAATGGTGACCTTACTACTTGGGGACATGGAATATGGAGTTAAAACATGGTCGCTGCTCATATTCAGTGATAGAGAATGCCAATTTTCTGTTTGCTTTGTGGTATAAACGGACTGTACAAATGATAATTTTATTGTAATGTTTTAAAAGATAAGCCCATTCAAAATTAAGAGACCAGGAAAAAATGAATAATTGAAATTCTATTAAATTTCTTACCACAGTTGCTTACTAAAAACTCTTAATGAATTTTCAAACCTGAAGGTAAGTAATCAAATTTTGTCTTAACTAAGAGAAAGATTATGGAATTATGTCAAATCTTTTCCCATATATGTTATCTAGAAATACAGGAAGGGGTATTAAAGAAATAATATTTGACTATGAAATAATTTTTAAGATTATCAAACCATAAACATGTAAGTAATAAATTAGATCAATGCAGTGTTGCTCCTTTCAAGACATTCTTACAGTTCCTTTAGCATCTTTAGAAACCAGTTTAAACTATATAAATGTATGTATGTATGTTTTTCCTGATAACCATAGATTAAAAGTGTTTCCATGAAATATTTCAACATATATATAAAAGAGAGGAGGAATATAATAATGTAGATATTAAACTCCAAAGCAAAGATCCTAACTTCATATCTTACTTTTATCATCTACTAGCTTTATAACCTTGGATCAACTTCCCCTTTCTGTTCATCTATAAAATGAAAATAGTAATAGAGCCCGCCTCTTGGGTTATTTTTAGGAGATATATATAGATACAGATATAGATAGATAGATAGATATTTATGAACAATTAGAAGTGTGCCCAATGTACAGTAAGTACTCAAACGTTAGCTCTGTTCTTACTCCTTTTATTATTATTGCTGTTATTTATGCATATATAATATCAAAATTTAAAAGAAATCATCTAGTAGCTTTAGCAAATGGAGTATTTGCTTCAAGCTTTTAAAAGAAATAATAAACAGCACAGGTGGCGGTGCTGGCACAGCCTTGTAATCCCAGCTCCTCCGGAGGCTGAGGTAGGAAGATTACAAATTCAAGGCAAGCCTGAGCAAATTAGCAAGACCTTGTTTCAAAATTTCACGGAAGGGCTGGATGTAGCTTTTAGTGGCTGAGTGCCTGCCTAGCATGCATGAAGTCCTGGGTTTGATTGCCAGCACTGCCTAAAAGAGGAAAAAATAACTATAGATTTAGTCTATATACCAATATGTATGTAGCTATAAAAAAATTTTTTTTGAGACGAGATCTCACCAGGTTGCCCAGGGTGACCTCAGATTTGCAATCTGCCTGCCTCAGCCTCCCTAGTAATTGGGATTATAGGCAGGCATGCACTATTATGCCCAGCCTAAAAACTGTTTGTTGTACATAGCATATAAATGGCATCATACTGTATGTGTGTTTCTTCAACTTGATTTTTTAACTTAAAATTTTATTTTTGAGGTGTATTGATGTTAATACTGCAGCTCTAGTTCATTTCTAAAATGTTTCCTTTTAAGGAAGTTTATGTTATATTTCAAATATATAGAAGTATAGAAAATAAGTACTCATGTACTCACAACCTAAATATCCTAAAGTCTTCACATTATGTCAAATACATCTATAGCTGTCTGTATCTGGTATAAAAGCTGATGCTTCCTTCTCAGAGGTGACCCTGATCATAAATATGGTATTTATCATTCTCCCAAATATTTTATACTGTTAGTGAGTATATGTCCATAAAACTTGCAGTGTTGGAAATTCTAAAAATGTGTACAAATAGGGTCATTCTATATCTTACTTTTTCACTCAGTTTTGCTTTTGAGACAACACATTTTGATCTCTATACTGCTAATTTGTTCATGTTAGCTGGAGTAGTATGCTATTGTGTAAAAGTGCTGCATTTTATTCAGTCTTTTTTTATCAATGGATAGTTTCTAATTTTTCTGCTATGTTGCAGTAAGTATTCTGGTAATATTTGTTTTTCTTGTGTACAAGTTTCCATGAGCTGTTCACCAGAAGTGGAATTATTGCAATGTAAGATGTAAGCATCTTCAACCAAAGTGGTAATTCAGTTCATATTCACAACAGAGTATGAGTTTCCCTTCTCCCCTATCTTGGTATTCCCAGACTTTTAAGTTTTTGCCAACCTTTGAAATGGTATCTCATGCTTTAGTAATATACATTTCCCTTCTCACTAATAAGATTATGTTTTCATGCGTTTACTGGCACTTCAGGTTACTCTTTTGTGACTTGCTTATGTGTCAGCTTTGTCCATGCCTCTGTTATTTGCTCTTTGCTGCTGTTGTTAACATATTCTTGGTATTTTTCAGTTATTTGTATTGCAGATATTATCTCTTGATCTCTTGCTTAGACTTTGTGCTTGCTTTTATGTTTTAAGAACTCTTTCATGCCTCTAAAATCATGAAAGTTGTCTGCCATATTTTTTCTAGCAGTTTTTATAATTTGCTTTTTGATTCACATTTGTAATCCTTTGAAGCTTTTGTCTCTGTTATAAAAAAACATAATCTTATTTTACTGTATAAGTAAGCAATGTTCTTTCTGAACTGTTATTTGTCAGTCATAATACAACCTCTATCAGGTGCCAAGCTTGATTTTTAAGGTCTTTGTTTCATTGGTTCTGTGTGTCAGTTGCACATTTCTTTTACCATGTTTGTCTTAAAAACTGTTTTAGTTACTCTTGGCACCTTGTTATTCTAAATGAATTTTAGAACCAATTTCATATGAAAAATACTATCAGAACTTTGATTGAAATTGTTTTCAATTTGTAAATGAATTTGGGGGAAATTGCCATCTTTGCATTACTGAGTTTTAGTATTTTTTGTTTATGTTTTTATTCCTTCCTTTGCTCCTAGATATCGTATAGTTTTTGTTATAATTGTGAGTGGGATGCTAACTCTATTGTATTTTAAATTGGTTATTGCTGGTGTACAAGAATGTCACGAGGGGAAAGGGCGGGAGATTTAGCTCAGCGGCAAAAGCACCTGCCTGGCAAGCGCAAGGTCGTGAGTTCGGTTCCCGGTACCGGAGAAAAACCAAAAAAAAAAAAAAGAATGTCACCGGTGGATTTAGTATATTAATCTTTGAACATCCCTGCTGAAGTCTTTTATTAGTTGTAATTATGTATGGATTCTCTTGGATACTCTGTAGAAATCTTACTGTCTGCAAATAAGGAGATTCCTCTCTTGCTGGCTTTATAATTCTTACATTTTATATAAGAGCTGTCCGCTTTTTCAGAAGATTGGGACATCTTCCTGTAAAGGCTTGTCCTAATATCTTCAAAGTAAAGACACAAAAGAAATTGTGGAAGTTGACTAGGTTTTAAAATTTTATTTGTTTCTCTAATAATATTTTTTTCCTTGGGAACTTTTTATTGATGTTGGAGAATCTGGCCTTTTTTTCTGCATAGAAAGGTTTTCCTAAACTTCATGGAAGGGGCATTTTTCACTGTCCTACCTCATGGTTTTTAACACTTGGATACATGTGACTTCTTACTTTCTAAAGCATTTGAAGCAGAAAGAAGTCAAGTGGTTTATAGTCAGTTAGCTGAGGTGAGAGCAAACTATAGTTCTCACTCATACTGTAGCTCACTAAAAACTATAGGGCCAGCCATTTATTAGTTTTTATTGTGTATAATCTTAATATGTTTGCATATGTGTATGTAAATATGTATCATAAAATTTAACATTTTAACCATTTCTAATGTACAGTTCTGAGTCATTACATTTACATTGTGAAATTACTGTTTTTCATCTTCCCAAACTATGATTGTGTGCACTAAGCAGGAGCTCCATTCCTCCTCCTCAGCAGCCCGTGGCAGCCAGCATTCTACTTGTCTTTAGAAATTTGATTACTCTTTACCTCACATACATGAAATTATACAGTATTTATTCTACTTTATGATTTTTAAAATAGTTGCTACTAGGATGTTTATTAGTT